GGCCCGACCGGCCCAACCCGGCCCGACCCGGCCCCGCCGGGCGAGCGAGGCGGCGCGGCCCGGCCGAACGCTGGGACGCTTGGGGCGCCGGCCCCGCGAGTGAGTCAGCGCGGCGCTGTGTGACCTTGGCCCGCCGGCGTCTCTGGGCCGGGCGCCTCGGGCCACCGCGGCCCCCGCTGCCCGGGACCCTCGGCCGCTCGTAGGCCGCCGGGCCCCCTGAGCCGCCGGGGTTCGGGCTGCCACCGCCAGGCTCCGGAGACAGGGCGCGCGGGGGACGCGCTTCCTCGGCGGGGCCGTCTTCTCGCGCCCGCGGTCACTTTGCTGCCGTTTCCGTCGCGGGGAGCCCGCCTGGACCTCTGGATCGGGACGTGGCCGAGCAAACGCACCCCGAGCCTCGGGGACTGACGCGCCCCCGAACGCTGTGTTCTGGGGGCCCTCTGGACGGCCCCAGGTCCCGGGGGACGCCCAGCGGCGTCCCGCGTGCTGCCGGCCCGGCCCGCCCCCGCCGGGGCGCCGCTGCGAGTCGTGGCGCCGCGGAGGGTGGCCCGGGACGGGGAGGGGGTCGGCCTTCTCTCTGGCCTGGCCCGCTCCGGGAAGGCTCTGGGACTTAAGCCCATTTCAGCGAGTGGTTTTCTGCGACCTCCCCGCCTGCGGTATCAGAACGTGAGCAGAAGAAACTCTACCTGAACAGCCTCCCGCCGCAGACTTTTCTCTTTGCTATTGCAGGGGGATGTTTAAGTTTCCAATACCTGCACGAAGGCTGTTTAGAGTCTCACTGGAAGTTGAAGTTGGTTAGCGCTAAGCCTCAAATCGTCACAGTCTATTAAGATAGTACTAGGTTACTGCAGATGTCAGCTCCCTGCTTTCTCAAGTTCCCTCCAGAGCCAGTAGTTTTCTCACCTGGGAACTGGGGGTGCGGCAAGTCTTAGGGTAATGAGCTCCCAAAGCAGTGAGGAAATTTAGAAGGTCAGAGTTGCTGGAACTTGCTGAGGAGTTGGTATTCCAGCTGCGCACCCCCCCCCCCCCCCCCCCCCACTCGCCGTGGGTCCTGGTCCCGCAGCGCTCAGGTGGGTTAGATGGACTCAGGTGCGGGGAACAGCCGTCCAGAGTGGCCGCACCACCCCAACACTTGCATGTGCAGTTTCACTAGAGTTTTAAAAATAAAGATCTGGCCTGAATGAAGAAAAAAAATATTTATTAAGTATCTTATTCAGTATCTTCCAGGGGCTGGTTGCTTTTTAAAGGGAGCGGTCTTACTCCTGGTGTGTTGGGAGCCCAGGGCCTCCTCTTAGAGCTGTCTCACACCCTCAGCTCCTTGAGCCACAGCTGGGACACCTTGGGGTGGGGTGCTCTCCTAGCCTCATGCCCCCATCTCTGTTGGCTGACACCGGACCTGACTTCTAAGTGGGGGCGGGAGTGCTCATGGGCAGCCATCCTTCCTCCTCTTAGCTAGTCCAGAGTCCTGCATCCCAGCTCACCGGGAGGGTTGGCCTGCTGTGAGCTTCTAGGAACTACTTCCTGGAGCCTTTCCTGCTGTCGCGATGCCATCCGGCTCTGTCTCTCCGAGTACTCTGTGTCCCTGCAGGTTATTTACTGCAGCCTAGGAGGAGGTATTCGCCTTCACCTCTGATTTGCCCCATGGACTCTAGCTCCTTAAAGATAGGCAGAGCATGTCTCACCTTTCTGTTCCACTAAGAGGTTGCAAGTACAAGGTGTTCTTTAGATCTTTACTAAGTTCGTAAATGGGAAAGTCAATACAGGTCTAGGTATTTGTAAAAAGTGTTATTCTCCTGTTATAGTTAATAGTATTGGGGGAGGCCTTTTAATTATTTTTTTTGTAATTTGTTGTTTATCCTGCAGATTCCCCCTAAAGGACTCAAAGCGTCTGATGCAGTGGTTGAAGGCTGTTCAGAGGGATAACTGGACCCCCACTAAGTATTCTTTCCTCTGCAGTGAGCACTTCACCAAAGACAGCTTCTCCAAGAGACTGGAGGACCAGCACCGCCTGCTCAAGCCCACGGCTGTGCCGTCCATCTTCCACCTGGCGGAGAAGAAAAGGGGGGCTGGAGGCCATGGCCGCCCCCGGAGAAGGGACACCGGGAAGGCCTCGGCGGGTCTAAGGGCACAGGCGAGTGACACCGCGGACGGGAAGGCAGCTGCAGGGTCACCGTCGTCCTCAAGTGCAAACCCAATGGCCAAGCCGGAGCCCCGCAAGCTGAAGCGGGCCCTGCCGCAGGGCCGAAGCGCGACCAGGGCCTCCCGGGAGGCTGCTGGTCAGGAGCGGGTGCGGCAGCCTCCGGGTGGACATGCGGAGGGCGGTCCGGCCTCCGTGGCCACCTCCAGCAGCCAGGGAGAAGCCAGCACAGGGGCTGTGGATGCTGGTGACGAGGGTGCCACCCCCGCCGACAGGTGGGACAGGAGCGGAGTTTCCGCGGATGACTTCACGCCCCCGGGCTCCGGGGCCTGCAAGTTCATCGGCTCGCTTCACTCCTATAGCTTCTCCTCCAAGCACGCCCGAGAGAGGCCGGCCATCCCCCGGGAGCCTGTGGAGCGGAAGCGGCCGAGGAGAGACGCCGAGCCCGGCTGTAGCGGGAGCAGCCCCGGGCCCGAGAAGGGGCCAGCGCAGAGCCCTCCACGCGCCTGCCCCTCGGCGAGCTCCTCGCTCACCGCCACGCCACAGAAGCCGGCCCAGGGTGCCTCGGCGCCTCCCACCGACGTGACCCCAAAGCCTGCAGCCGAGGCCGTCCAGAGTGAGCACAGCGACGCCAGCCCCATGTCCATCAACGAGGTCATCCTGTCGGCGTCAGGCGCCTGCAAGCTTATCGACTCGCTGCACTCCTACTGCTTCTCCTCCCGCCAGAGCAAGAGCCAGGTGTGCTGCCTACGGGAGCAGGTGGAGAAGAAGAACGGCGAGCTGCGGACCCTGCGCCAGAGGGTCAGCCGCTCGGACAGCCAGGTGCGCGAGCTGCGCCAGAAGCTGGACCAGCTGCGGAGGCTGAGCCTCCCTCACCTGAGCAGCCTGCTGCCCCCTGGCCGCGGTCAGTACCCGAGCCCCGCGCCGCGGGCGTCACAGGGGGCTTCTCGGGGGCCCAGGGGCCCCCGTGCGCCGTCTCCCGGTCCGTGCGGAGGGACAGGAGCTGGGGTGGCAGCTGCAGCTGAGGGCTTTAGCCAGTGCAGAAGGAGGTGTGGGAGACCCAGGCCCACCTGGAGGGGCCTGGCGAGGGAGGCCCTTCCCCTCGCACGCCACAGGCCAAGTCCTGGGGAATTAGGTCTGAGTCAAGACAGAAACTGTGAACCGCCAGAGAGATGAGAAGAGACTAAATCAGAGGGAAGTCCTTTTCGGTTGTGTTGTGACAAATATTCCTGATGTTAGATAGTTGTGAACGTTAATACTGACCTTAAGATTGCGAACGCCTACTGAAGTAGAGTACGTTCTCTTAAGAACACTACAGAAACTTGCAGGCTGAGAAGACACCCCTTTCCCATCTGGCTTCCCAGGTGGCTAGACTAGTTTTTATGCTTTTATTTACGTATCTTTGTATCTATACAAATAGGTTGGATATATATTTTATATGTTATCACTTATGTTTCTGCTTTCCCTCCTAATTTGCTATTTGTTTCTTAAAAAATTTGTTGTGAGGGTAGTGTCTCTTGCCGATTAAGTGTATGAAGGTGGAAACCATTTTCCTCCCACGTTGTGCATTTAGTCTGAATCTGGGCTTGTCTTCTGGGTTGTAATTAACTGCAGGTGAGGAAAGGCTACAGTGTGACACAGGCTCTTCAGGGTTTCCTGGACCCCACCCAGGGCCACAACCAAAATCCAGCAAAACCCAAACCCGTCCTGATGTGCTGGTCACAGTTACACACTGCATTCTCTCCTAGTGTTTTTAAAGCAGTTTTGTAGTTTCTCGTACCTACTAACTACTTTCTGGTACTTGTTCTGTTCTTCTTGGTCAAATGGCCCTAAGTTTATCACTGTAGCGGTTCTTCCCAAGCCACCTGCACTAATCCAGTCTCCGTTGTTTTTCTTCTTCATTCATCCTCCTTTCTTTCTGCTCTCCTGCATTCATGGCTTTTCTGCTTCTGGAGGGCAATGCTGACTCCTTTGAGACAGTGCGTGTTTCCCAATCCTGCAGGTGAGGCTGGCCCCTTCTGTCGCTTTGGCTCTGCGCTGCACACCCACCTCCCGCTGCTTTCTGGGCTGTTGATTTCTAAAGCATTTGTAATTTTAGCCTTGATTCCCCCTTTAACCAGCGTTATTTAGGAGGGTGCCATGGTTTTTCAAGGGCATGGCCTGGGGGAAGGGAGCTGATTTTTGTTTTATTGTTCAGGTACAGTGCTTTGGCAAGCTTAGAGAATCTGCTGAGGTTTCACGGAGGCCCAGTACAGTCTGCGTGTGTGACCATCTCACAGAGCCTCCCCCGCAGGGAGAAGAACTTGTACTCTCCCCAGACTGGTTACATTGTTCTTGTCAGCGCTGGATCTAGCTTTATTTCATTGGTCAGCTGATCTGTTTCCTAACTTATTGTATCCACCGCTCTGGGTTTCTGAGAAGGGAGGTAGGTCTCTCACTTGTTGCTTCTTGAAAGTCTTTGCAGTTTCGCACGTAAGTTATTGGACACGTGAGTGTGCCTGCATGTTATCAAACAGAAAAGCCATTTTGTCCCATTTAAAGTTTTACTTCTTTATCTCCTTATTTTCAAACTTTTTCTATGCCTTTATTTTGTATCTATATTTTAACTCAACCTGAGAGCCATTTTATATAGTAATTTAATACGCTTACAACTGGGATGATTAGTAAGTTGAAATTTGGGCCTGCTTCTTCATCCTGTAATTAGGCTTTCTCGTTTCCTTTTCCGCTCTGGTGGGTGACTGCCAGCGTTCGTCCTGCCTTTCTGTAAACTCTTGAGTGAATTGGCCCCCAGCCACCCTCCCTCACAGGTGCCAGTCTCATCTGATCTGAGAGCCGCATCCGCGCGTCCCCATCACAGCCGTGCTCGACGCACGTGCACCTCGTGCCGGTTACTTTACTCACCACTATACATCGTTAGCGATTTTGCCCTCTTTGGGGGAAACAGTTAATGACCTGAGGGGAGCCCCCATGACAGTGACATTTTGAGAGGAGTCAAGTTTGAGACGCCCCTCAGGTCTGGAGCCAGAGAGCCAGCACCCAGCTGCTTAAAGTGGCCAACGTGTGTCTGCACTGTCAGGCAGAAGGTGTTGCAGAGAGGGGGAGCCCAGCTGGGTGCAGCAGCTCCAACCAGAGTGGAGGAAAGATGGCTGCCTCGGCCACACGGGGTCACTGGTGACCAGTCTCCTTGGAGTGGTGTGGACAGAGCTGGGTGGGGACCTGGTGAAGGTAGGGGGCTGCTGAGGGTGGCCAGGGACCAGGCTCTAAGAGGGTTACCCGTGAGGGGCCTAGGGAAAGCGGGCAGCAGCTGGGAGGGAGCGTGGCTCCACAGGGAGGTTTTGAGGAAGAGCCTTGAGGACTGAGAGGAACAGGCTGGGGGGGTGGGTAGCACGGGGAGATGGGCCCAGGGAGGGGAGCAGGCGCCCCGAGTCCCCGCCTGTGAGCTCCCCCTGCTGTCCTCCAGACCAGCTGCACTCTCAACTGTTCCTCAGTGCAGGGGTCTTCAGTTCTTTTGCAGGGATTCTGTGTTGAAGGGACCGCACACGTGTTTAGCCAGGCCCCCTTTCCTGGACAGAACACCCACGACAGCAGCCGGGCCATTGGGGCTGCACATTCTGGGTCTGGGAAGCTTGCCCCCCAGAAGCTGCTGTTGAGTGGCCTTCCCACAGAACAGGCTCGCTCTCACAGAGCCCAGGCTCGCTCCGGGTGTCTGGCTGCATCGGGCACATTGCAGGCATTTCTGTGAACCAGGGAGGATGAACGTTTTATCCCGTCTCTGCCCTGCCCTGACCATGCTGTTCCCACCTTGCTCGCTGACCTGTGAACATCCCCACAGACACGGATGATCACTGTCGAGTGTGAGTCAGCGGTGCCCTCAGGGCTATAGCTGAGTTTTCTTCCTTATACATACAATTCTTGAATTAATTTGGGGTTTTAAAAGCTTTTATTGTGGAAATCTTGAACTTGGACAAATGAAACAGAAAAGTGTAATAACCCCGCTGAACCAACTTCCCATCCCAGCTTCTACATTTATCAGTATTCTGATAATCTTATTTTATCTGTATTTCTACCTACTCCCTACCTTCCATTGATTATTTTCTAATGAGTGAAAGTCGCTCAGTTCTGTCCAGTGAACACATGGGATCTTTGTGATCCCATGGATTGCATAGTCCATGGAATTCTCCAGCTAGAATACTGGAGTGGGTAGCCTTTCCCTTCTCCAGGAGATCTTCCCAACCCAGGGATCGAACCCAGGTCTCCCGCATTGCAGGCGGATTCTATACCAGCTGAGCCACCAGGGAAGCCCTGTTTTCTAATAGTTCGGGTTTTCCTTTTAAGGAAAGTTTTAGATTTACAGAAAAATTAACAGACAGCACAGGAATTCCCCCCTCCCCGCTATTTCCCTACTGCTAACATCTCACATTTCCACTTGTGCTAGAGGTTCACTGTATTACTAGTTACAAGCCCATACTGATATGTTGTTATTAACTAAGTCCCATAGGTTACATTTAGGTTCACTGTCTTATATTTGAGGTTTTTGGGTTTTTTTTTTTTACCCACTGACAAACTTATTAACAAAAAAGAATATCTTTCAAAGATACAATCTCAAGAGAATCTTACTTAAGACCAACTCTGTAGAATTAAACAAAATACTGGATGGGTAGAAATTTTGGAATTTCAGACCACTGAAGGTGAATCTGTACTCCACAAAAAAAAACACAGTGGGGAAGAGACAGAAAGGAATCTTTTAAATGAATACAAATGCAGGAGCACCCAGCCTTGCCCTGGTGAAGGCCTGGTGGAGGGCGACCACTGTAGGCCTCCCAGCCGGGATACAAGCATACCCCGGGGATGCTTGGGCAGGTCGGCCCACGGGATGGCGTATGCTTGGAGTTTGACGAGTACATTAGAGCACATATCCTCAGTGCAGCAGCGTAGAGTCATGTCCCTGCCCTGAAACTCTGTCTACCTGTTCATGCCGTCCCTCCCAACCCCTGCAGCCACTGATCTTAGGACTGTCTGTAGTTTTGCCTCTTCAGGAAAGTCCCAAGCCTGCGAGGTGCAGATGCTGTGAACCAGAGCATGCAGCCTCTTTGGGCTGGCTTCTTTCACTCAGCAGGATTGTATCGAGAGTTCCTCTGTGTCTTTTTATGGCCTGATAGCTGTTTCTTTTTGTCATTGTTGTGCCTTTTTAAATATTGAGTTAAAATACAACAAAAATTTACCGTAACAGTCTGTCAGCCTTCAGTGCAGTGGCGTTAAATCCATGCACACCACGGCACAGTTGTCACACGGCCGTCCTGGAACTCACGTGAGTCGGAGACTCTGCCCCTGTTAGTGACGCCCCTTTTCCCCTCGCCCAGACGTCAGCAGCCACCATCCTGCTTCTCTGATTCTGACTCCTGTACGTGAAATCACACAGTATGCGTCCATCTGTGATTGGCCTGATGTCCGCAGAGTACATCCATGAGGTAGCATATTGCAGAATTTTTTCCTTTGAAGGCTGAGTAGTAGTCCACTGTATGGATGGACCACATTTTGTTTATCCACTCATCTTACAACGGACATTTGGGTTATATTGATAGATTTTAGACTGCTGAACCAGGCTTGCATACTGGAACAAACCCAAGTGATCATGGTATATATACATTTTTACATTGTTAGATGCTATTTGCTCATGTTGAGTTTTGTATCTTTGTTGATGAGAGAGATCTGTAGTTTTACTTTCTTCTAATAGCTTTGTCTGATTCTGATAATAGAGTGATTCTGGCTTCATAGAATGATTTAGAAAGTATTCCCTCTGCTTCTTCCTTCCAGAAGAGATGATAAAGAATAGGTAAAATTTTCCTTAAGTGTTTGATAGAATTCATATATTCTAGAAGCCCATCTAGGACTGATGCTTTCTGT